AAACGGGGTAAGTAAGAAACGAATGTTTGCACATTATCTGGGATCACTGAGGCTCGGCGACCTCCGTTGGTGAGGTCAGGTACCGATGCCGCTCTAGGTCTCCAGTCTCCACTCTAGCATAACTCCGTCTCCTCAATACTGGAGCGGTCGGTCGCCAGCGAACGATCCCCATCATCATCTCTGGTCGTTCGATGACCAATAGACGCCTTGGCCATAAAGCGGACGTCGGCCCGCTCTCATTTTGCAAGATAAATGTCATATGGTATTGGAAGGTGTGCCACAAAGCAGACCTTGTAGCGTGGGTTCAGGCAATATTGGGTCTCTCCACTCTGGGAGACTGAATGAGGATGCAAACTCCAGACCGTCACGACGGAGCGCTGCTGGAGGGAAGATTGTAAAAAAAAAAATGTCATTTGGCCACTTTATTACTGAACTAAACCATATCAAAAGGAGTTCAATCTTACGCAAACAATACGTGTTATATATAAAATGGTACAAATATATTTGTAAAAAAATCATATCTTTGACATCCAGCCCTTCAGTAGATATAATTATCAGTTGAAGCATCTGAAGTTTACGGAAAAGTGAGGTAGATAAATTCAATAATCGATCTAGACATACTTCATGATTTTTCTTGGTACGTAAATACTACCACATAAATTAAGGTTTAAGTTTTAAGTGGGATACCAGCCTCAATCAAATGCAATAAAGGTTGTTCAGTGTTGGTAAAGGCCGCCTCAAAGCAGAGTACAAATAGAATGTCTATATAAAGCAAGGCTGATGACACTCGAGGTGTGCAGCGGCTTGAGCTATATTCGGCGACCTTCAATGGAAGTGTTAAGACGCTAAAGCCTCCTCCTACAAGTGACATTTCAGTTGATGAAAGCAGTTTTGCGTTGGAGGCTTAAGATGTAGCAACCCTACGTAGGTGTGAGCGCAATTGTGGAGAAAGCGATGAAACAGAGGGCATCTATTGGAGCAAGTCTTATATCGCACCATAGGTAAGACCAATCCACTGAATATCCTCCGCTCAGTCTGAGCACATGCGGAACTTTATATACTGTGGGGGGTGTAGCTACAACCCCAATTTTTAAAAGTACAACCCCAATGGCAAAACTACAACCCCAACATTGGAAAATTAAGAATTAGCCTGAAACACATGAAAATGAACAAAATATGTATCCCTTCAGAAGCAGATAATTGAGATATATCAAGAAAGTGAAGATATCAATAAATTAGGACATCTTTTTGAATTCCAGATGCTAAAAACATTGAAAGTGCTCTGTTAAGAACATATTATTCCGCTGAGACAGTGAGCAGAGCATGATATGAAAGTCAATCACTTCACACTTCTTAAGCATACTAAGTGAATCATATTGAAAGTGTTTCAAAAAATCTTAACATGTAACATGAAAGTGTGAAGCAAAAAAAAATCATAACATTCATCATACTTTTGCAGTGGCGAATCCAGCTCAGAGTTTGGGGGGGGGGGGGCAAACCATAATAATTTATCGATTCTTTCCATGCCTCGTCCATAGGCGTAATATTAAAATTATGCCGTTTGGGAGGGGCAAATGCCCATTTTGCCCCCCCCCCCCTGAATCCTGATCCGCCACTGTACTTTTGGGTTTTCTCACTAAATATTTCATACCTGTGGGCTGTGCTTATCAAAGAGATAAGCATAGATGAAAAGTTTGACACAAAACAGCAAGCTTCAGAAATAAATTAACATAACCTAAGCCTCCACCCTATGTAGCATTCAATCACCATAATCATAATATCAAATACATTTCTTAAGTGAAATATCACTCTGTTCGCAATTTTGTCAGTTGGCACAATACCACCAATCAGCACGAATATTTGGCTAAAATGACGACACTTGAAATCAACGTTGACGACCATAAAAAGTAAAAACCAATCCTGTGCGATAATTAGTGCTGATAATCTTACTGACAGGTTCGCGAACAGAATGCAAACGATGCAAACTAAGTCACATGTAAGCCAGCATGACGCATTTGATACAAATGCAAGGTTTTGGCGACGTCTGTCAAATCAGCAGCAACGAATATCAGCCTCACAGCAGCATATTTCGGGGTCTTTCAATTTGGCTGAAAATCGGTATCCAGAGCCTCCTCGATGCGCTGATTCCGAAAATATGCCTCTTTGGGGTGGTATTTTGCACCGTTAACGAGTTAATGACCTATTAACTTTTAACGGGATTAGCATTTTAACGGGAAACGGCGGGGTCTTTCGATTTAGCTGAAAATCGGTGTACAGGGCCTCCTCGATGTGCTGATTCCGAAAATGTACCTTTTTGGGGTGGTATTTTGCACCGTAACCGATTTAACGACCAATTAACATTTTAATGGGAAACGGCGGGTTCTTTCGATTTAGCTGAAAATCGGTATACAGGGCCTCCTTGATGCGCTGATTCCGAAAATGTACCTCTTTGGGGCAGTATTTTGCACCGTTAACGAGTTAACGGCTAATTAACATTTTAACCGGAAACGGCGGGGTCTTTCGATTTAGCTGAAAATTGGTATACAGGGCCTGTTTGATGCGCTGATTCCGAAAATGTACTTCTTTGAGGTAATATTTTGCACCGTTAACGAGTTAACGACCAATTAACATTTTAACGGGAAACGGTGGCGTCTTTCGATTTGGCTGAAAATCGGTATACAGGGCCTCCTCGATGCGCTGATTCCGAAAATGTACCTCTTTGTGGTGGTATTTTGCACCGTTAACCCTATTAGTGGCAGGGGGGGGGTTGTTTTTATCCACCCCTCAGGTTTTTCGGGAATATCTCCGAAACCGCTGAAGCTACGATGCTGAAATTTTCTGACTTTTCCTAAAACTAAATTGGGCACATTCCCTGAAAATTTCAAGTTCATAACTTTACCAGGGGCGGCTCCAGAGCACTGGGAATTGGGGGTCCTATTCGTGAAGCGAGTCATTTGGGCGAAGATCACGATGCTGCACCAGTTTTACGAACAGTGAATGAAAGGTATCATGTGATAACATATACAAAGTTATTGTGCATCCTCTTTTGACACGTTTTTGCTATAATAGGCGGATCCAGGCGTCCAAAAAGGGGGGTTATTTTTTACCTCCCAACATAGGTGCCCTGACACCGCCTATGCATGACCAATACAATTTTAGTCGTTCTCTCATAAGAAAATTGTAACATAACAAGATCATTGCCACCCTTTTTAGAAACAGTACCAACAAAAACCTTATTTACTATACTTTTTGTGTACCCCCAATCTCAATGATCTGTATCCGCCTATGATTTTTGAAAATGCATATTTTTAGGATCCATGTGAATTCCTGGTTCATTCTCTATCGATCGGCAAAAGTTGCGTTAAGATTGGTTCAGAAACCTGGCCGTGATAAACAGTCTAAAATGTATCTGCAATTTGCCCGTTTTTACCCCCCTCTACCCCCCTATTGACATTTTTTAATTTTATTTTTTTTAGAAATGTAGATCTCGTTGAGCCAAATCGAATGCCGTTTGAATTTTGAAAATCGGCCGGCTAGATCTCGAGATATCAAGGGGGGTCGTAAACAGCCCCCCCCCCCTGCCACTAATATGGGGTAGCCAGGAGCCTGCCACTAATAGGGTTAACGAGTTAACGACCAATTAACATTTTAATGGGAAACGGCGGGGTCTTTCGATTTAGCTGAAAATCGGTATACAGGGCCTCCTCGATGCGCTGATTCCGAAAATGTGCCTCTTTGGGGTGATATTATGCACCGTTAACGAGTAAACGGCCAATCAACATTTTAACGGGAAACGACGGGGTCTTTCGATTTGGCTGAAAATCGGTGTACAGGGCCTCCTCGATGCGCTTATTCCGAAAAATGTGCCTCTTTGGGGTGGTATTTTGCACCGTTAACGAATTAACAGCCAACTAACATTTTAACGGTAAACGGCGGGGTCTTTCGATTTAGCTGAAAATCGGTGTACGTTCAGTGTCTCAGGGGCAGACAAACAAGCCGCTATGTGTTCCTAGCCATCGTGGCTGTGAAGAGTATGCGTTTTTTTACGATTCGCCAAACAATGCATAATACATTTGCTCGTTGAAAAAAAAGAAGATCATCTAGTTAATTGAAGTATTCGGTGATATGAAAAGGCTGTGGCATTTATTATTTAGTTTCCTCAGGTTGAGATAATTTAGATCCAGTGTTATGTTCCTTTGCGGCATTGTGTTCGTTATGTTGTCCTCGTTTGCAAAATATCTCATGTCTGATCAGTCACTATTCCGGTTTATACTACCCGTTTCCGTAATAGACGTATTCCAGACGACAGTGGCATTAATATACAAAGATGGACTCGTTTTAAGTTTTTTAGTCTAAAAATAACGTATTCCTGTTTAGGTCTTCGTTCTCAATTACCACGAGTGGATTAAATTGTTACTCGTAGGGAAAGAGCCCTGCTCCAATACTGAGTAATGTTTGTGTCAAATGTGGAAAGAAACAAGTATTCATAGGGACTGTGATTTTGGGCGTTTACCTACCGTTTCCGAATCGCCACGACCAGTACCTAGCGGCGGAACACCCTCAATTAAGGGGGGCACTGTCGACTTTTGATCCCATTCTTTCCATGCAACGCCCATAGGGCTAATGTTAAAATACCAAAATCAAGGGGGGCACGGTTCCCCGGTGCCCTCCCCGTTCCGCCGCCTATGGCCACGACCATGGTGGCGACTGGCGATACCCGAGTACCTACAACCAGGCACATAGCCAATGGAGGGACGACAGGGTCAGCCGTCTCTCCCTGGAGATGGACCACTTTTATTTTATTTTATTTTTATTTTTTTTTTGTAACTGAAAATGTGGGCCCCTTCCGAAAAATAGTGGGCCGAATCCGGGGACTTTTCGGGTTTTGGTGGGGGTATACCCTGGGCTCCGGCAAACTACAACCCCAATGAAAAACAAAAAGTTCCACCTCTGAGTCTGAGTCCCTCCTCGCCTCCCTCACAGACACTGTGCCGTCTCACCTTTTTTCTCGCCGTGCCGATGCCGCTCGGGACTGCAGGGCGAGCCGGCGCCGGGCAGCTCCCCGTGCAGAATGTCCACGGTGGACGCGGACGCGGACGGTTTGACGTCAATCACGTCCACATTGTCCCAGTGCTGGCCCTCCACGTAGGTGATGGTCTGAAACAGCGAGCAGGTGGTTAGGGCTGCGGAGGAACGAGAGACAGGCGGGTGGGGTTAGGTGGTCTTTGTTAGAAGAACTTACGAGCGGACGGCGGGTGGTTTCCTACTACTTAGAGTAGGAGAATAACTAATAAGCGAGCGACAAGTGGCCTCTCTCCCTCTAACTCTCTCTCTCTCTCTCTCTCTCTCTCTCTCTCTCTCTCTCTCTCTCTCTCTCTCTCTCTCTCTCTCTCTCTCTCCCTCTCTCTCTCTCTCTCTCTCTCTCTCTCTCTCTAACTCGCTCTCTTCCTCACTCTGTCCAACCCCTCTCTCTCGCTTTCCTTTTAACTGACCCGAAACGAATCGTCCGATACGCATCCCGTTCGGCCTTCCGATAAAAGATGACCCAGTCTCATTTCCGCATTCAGTCAGATATTAATTCTCCGACGAGAACGCTTCCGGATTCCTTAGAAATCGAGCCGTAGCAAGAAGCGCTTCCCCGACAAAAGCTTTCTTTAGAAAAGCTACCGATTCCTTAGATATATTTGCCGTCAGTCTTTTCTCTTCCGCCCTGTTGCGAGCAGAGGTCCACCTCTACACGGGCGTCCAATAAAAGCGCGCTCGTCCCGCTGACCCTGATACCGGCTGCCAGTCGAGCACCGTTGCCTTTGTCTGATTGTTTTGTTTGCCGTTCATATGTAGACAGTCAACAGGGACGAGCGTGCCGCTCGCACCATATGAGCGCAAACACCGTGCCAAATGGGAGGCGCGCATGCCGGTTATGGCTCCCGCTGGCGCTGTTCTCTCGGCAAAGTGTCGGCTCGGCCGGTCGTTCCCCGCGTTTGACTGAAAACAATAATCTGGGTGAGATTCAGACATTTCGCGCAGAGGCCTAGGGCAGCAGCCTGAGGGGCCCAGGGACGGTGATAGCCCGGGACAGGAGCCAGTGAGGGCCTGGGACAGAATCCAGTGAGGGTCCAAGGCAGACCAGTGACGGCCCAAGACAGTGGGCCGTGAGGGTCCGGTACAGTGGCCTGTGAGGGCCCCCGGCAGTGTTTAGTGAGGGCCCCCGGCAGTACACGGTAGGGACCCGGTTGTAGCTCGGCAGTTGGGCTTCCTGCCGGAACACTCCGTCCGACTATGGGAAGTAGAACAGCGCCCCCCCCCCCCCCCCCACCGCCCCGGTGTATACAGACAAACGGTAGCTCCATTTCTCTTAATAAGCACGGCTGGAGCCCGTATGGGACTCGCCGCCTGCGGTGGCAGCTGCGAGAGGCTGAATGTTTAATGTGCAAACCGGAGCTTCACATTAGATTGTGTACACTGCATGCATATTCATCTGAAAATAGTTGGTTGAAAAGGTTCTTTAAACGCTGATCAAACATAGATGATTCTCATACACCTACGATGTTGTATCCATTTCATATCGCTACTTAAAGTTCTTCAAATTACATTTCTGATGTTTGTGTTACATTTCAAGAGATACATCGGTGATTGTCATCAGATTAGTGGAAGAAGGTACATCAAAGATGGCAGACAACTTCATGTTAAAAAAGTTATAATGCTCATGGCTTCAAAGACTTCTTTATCTTTTGCAACCGTCCTACATATTTGCCGTTCTGAGTTTCTTCATCATTTGTGAAACGCACAACCAACACTACTGAACGATGTTGCACGGATAATGCAGATGAGCGTTTTCCATACATACTGGCCCGCCGCGCGAGGCGGTGGGAGTCCCTGTTCGACCTTGCCTGATCTTGCCTGGCCCTATCCGACCTTCTCTGCCGTTGTACGACGCTCTCTAACTCTATCTAATCCTGGCCGACCCTTCTCCCCCTGTCGACTCTGACCCCGTCTGACGCTGTCCGATTCTGATCATGTCTGACCTTATCCGTCTGACCATGTCCGACCCTACCCGACCCCAACCGGCCTTATCTGACCGCGTCTAACCCCGTCTGACCCTCAGTGCCCTGACCGGTGACCGGTGTCAGTAGGAAGTTGTGCGGCAGCTGCCGCAGCTCGCCGACAAACTGCTGTGAAATTGGATCCCAGCTGAAGTACCGGTCACACTCTGTTCCAGGTCAAATGAACTAACTTCATTGTGACAATCCAACCGGTCGTCGGCACTCGAATAGGATATTAGATGGTACGAGGAACGGTGGCCACATGCTAACGAGACATTGTCCTGCCGTAACAGTTGTCTGCCATGGGGAGCACGGCTTTCGCTGGAGCCATGCTCATGATGGGCAACATGTCTGCCGCCGACAACGCGGTGTCTAGCGCAATGGACTGATATATATGGCCCCGTAATCGTGTGGACAAAATCAGCCTCGGCGTGGCTTCACTCGTTGGCCTGCAATGCAATTTATTCCGATCAATTTACCAGCTCCATACACATGAAACCTCCACCCACATGGCCAGTGATTTTAGACACCCCTGCGTCACGGTTGCGCAGCGCGGTTCGACCCAGACCACCAATGACCTCTCGCGGCCTCGGCTTCGGCAACCGTCGGGTCTGTCTGCCAATCGAAAATCGACGAACTCTCCGCGGTCGGCCGACGTCGCCGGTCGGCGGCCGTTTCGCATTGCTCCCGTGAGAGGCGGCTGGCTCGCCGGCCCGCCAGACAGCCATTTTTCCGGCCGAGACAGCGCTTCATCTCATACCGGAGCCAGCCTTCTCTGTGCTGTGATCGAAAGACAGACACAAGTGGTGTAGGTGTGGTTGACAGGCACGTGGGGTGTGCTCTAAGACGCAGGTTTGTTTATAAAAAAAAAACATTTGATGTGAGCTAAAGCACTTGCGTGCGACTTGTTGTAGTTTTCTTCCGGCGATTTGCATTTTTGATTGACACATTTATCACTGATTTTGCAACAATCACCCTCTTGCAGATATTTCTTTGCAAGCAACAGCCTAATCCACCGAATCCCTTTCCTTGATCCTAACCTAACCCCTGTCCCTTATCCCGCCTCTTCCGTTGCTCTTTCGCTCTGGTTAGTTCCTTTCGTCTCTCTCCCATCCCATCTCTCTTTTCCCTTCCCCGTCTCCCTCCCTCTCTCTCTCTCTCTCTCTCTCTCTCTCTCTCTCTCTCTCTCTCTCTCTCTCTCCCTCCCTCTCCCTCTCCCTCTCCCTCTCCCTCTCCCTCTCCCTCTCCCTCTCCCTCTCCCTCTCCCTCTCCCTCTCCCTCTCCCTCCCCCTCTCCCTCTCCCTCTCCCTCTCTCCCTTCCTCCCTCCCGTCTCTATCCCCCACCCGTCCCACCCCACTGCGGTGTGGTCGGCTGGCGCCTGGTCCGGCCTTTCCCCGGCATCCCGCGGGTGTCGGACCGAGAGGCCTCACCGACCGAGAGGCCTCACCTGCTCCTCTGTCCAGCCGCGGTGAGAGCACCGCTCCGCCGCGCCTGCCTGACTCGATTAGGCCCGGCCGACCGCCGAGACACCGGCCAGGGAAGGGGATGAGACATGGCGACCGGGTATAATTCCCTGAGGCACCGCCGGCGTCACCAGACATGGTGCGGTGATGACAGTCCGGGCGATAAATGGGATGGTGGTTGCATGATCAGCTGGTTGAGCGCTGTGTCGTGCAGATGGTTATCAGACACTGTTCCTCAGTTTGCATTTCTGTTCTGTGTAATTGCCTGAATTGATCGATTAGCTATCTATGCTTGGAAGCGTAGAACACGGCACAATGCACATTACACGTCTCTCCTAAGAACTCCACTCATGAAAAACAAGGAAGTCTTTCTCATCGGTCACAAACGCCACTGGAAGTGACAGAAGCCGGGCTACTGAATCAGAGATGCTGGCTGCAGAAGAAGGCGCTTACAGAAAACGATAGAGTCGCGGGATTTGGGCACACTCCACGGTAAGCGATAAAGCTGCCGCATTTGGGTCGCCAGCCGTCAAACACGCAGATAATCTACATTCATGAGTACCAGGGGGCACATCAAGCGGGAGGGTAGTATTTCTGTACGCTTCATGCAATCAAAACTTTGTGATAAGCGGTCGACTGACCCGAAATTGCCATCCAGTGTTTGTGTGGTGCTGATTTTACATCATTCCCACTGGTTATGCATTATACGAACATTTGACATAGTAGTGTGGAATGCATATTGGCATTCAAAACATAAACACAACCACTGACGCTCCAGCTGTCTGATTCCATTCGATGGCACTGCAGCCATCGAGCCGTGGCGAGTGACAGGGCTGACCCACTTCATTCTTAGGCCATCTCTGTCGCAGGCCGGCGCCGCCCGACCGCCTGCTTTATGTTGCAACATTCCTGCGATAAGGCGGATCTGCATAGAAATAGAACGGAACAGACAGTGGACCCGAGCCGAGCCTGGGCCGCAGGGATCCCTCTGATGATGGGGAGTCTGAATTGTGCTTTCATTGGGCATTCGGTGGACGTTGACTGCGGATATGGGAGACGAAGTGACCGGTGTGCCAGAAATAGAAAGGAGTTGCCAGCACCAAAAATGAACCACAGTGACCGGTGTTCATACATAAAGTGGTAAATGGAGGCTTCCGGTGCGACGCGTCAGAAGGAAACTGATGGCTTCTGGTTGTTTTTTGGTGATTGAAAACTGGTTTCTGTTCACCGGCCAATGCAGTTGTGTGAATTAATACAAGATATAATTAAATCATGTTCTCCTTTAGGCACGACCAACTGTCTACGATTAACAAGTCATCAGCCCTTCTACATAGTTATTAGAAAAGCCATGCAAGACTTCTGAAGCATTGCGACGTACTTACATGCTCGCATGCATAAAATATCCAGCCTCTTTATGCCCGCATTTAATTTCAATAATCACGCGCACGAATCGTTTGACTCGAGGCGAGCCGCATTATAATGAGCTCTGGGCCCACGCGGAACCTTGCTCTGCGCCATGTGAACCGCAGCCTGGGAAGTGCCGCTGGTAAATTTAACTTCAGCTCAGCTTCCGCTGCCGGAACCGAACGCTTCAACAGAGCAGAGAGCATCGGTAGCCCTGAAAACACCCGCAGACCGATGTTTCAACGA